ATGTCCTAGAAGGTCTAGGAGCAGTAGAAGGCCCTTTTGAGTGTTCCCAGGCTTCAGAGCAAAAGAAATTAACACAGACAATTCACATGTTTGAAGGTTCAGGGTTGTGGGAGAGAGTGTTTTTTAAATTTTTTTAATAGTGGAACTATTGATATGCAGCCCCCCCCACTCCCCCAGTCACTGCTAAATTCACAGAATTCTCTATTGAACAAATTAGGCAGTCCCAAATTGTGACAAGTGCTAGAGCAACTCAAGATCCAATACTAAACAATAAAAACCTCTTCTCATTTCATACTTCTTTCTATACTATACTTTCTTTTCACACTACGGTCTGAGTGATTACTATGCATGGGATCCTCTACAAGGAGAATACCCAAAGACTGTCAATTTATGGTGCTCAACACCACCAAAGGAAATGACCTGAGAGATGTGGGAAAGGTTGACAGTGATAACAAGCCTATATCATCGGTTTGTTCTTTCATTGCAAGGGGAATTTAACATATATGGGCTGAGTCAGAACATCAGACATGGGTCTTAGGTGAAGGGGAAAAGAAAATGTCAAATCTGGTTCTTCCCCTGCTGAGCTCCAGCTCCCTCTGAGGACGTGCACAGCCCGCTCTGCAAAGGATGCCTCAGGAAGAAGGTAAGTACCTGTGTCTCTGGACATCTGACCCCCATGCCAGGATACCCAGAAGCTGTGGATCTGGAGTAGGCTGGAAACAGGATCAAAACCAACAGGAACAGCAAACTTACTCTCTGCCAGTAGTAGTTTACAACCCCCAGCAGAGAGGAGCTGAATAATTACCTGGAGAAAGTTGCCACCTCTCTGAGAGAAATGCTGCCGATATTGAGGCCATTTTACCAGACATGGAAACCAGGAGCCAACCACAGGGCCAAGAGCAAGTAAAATCAATCAGTAAAGCATAACCACCACACTCAGATCTACCAGCTGGGAGCATAGAACCATCACAATCAAATACTTGTCCAAACTAGGCTGCAATCATGTGTTTTGCTACCAAATTTAATCAGTTGTAGACCCCTAACATTATACTACCGGTATACATTTTTTGTTCTTAAAGCCAGAAGACTGAAGAGTCATTTTGCTTTTATTTTTAGTCCCTTAGTTTCTTATGTTCTAACACAGTCTGTTCACATCTGGGTGACACTTTAAGGCATCCCTTTGCCCAAAAATTTCCACTGGATTTCTATTAGATATTGTATTAATTTGTTTTTTGTAGAGCGGTTTTGAAAAGCTTATTTTTTTCCAGCTAAACAGTCAGACACAACGGTGTTTTGCACAATTTGAAATCAATTTGTACGCTTCAAAGCAACCATATCAAATATCAATGAACACATAGAAAAAAAATTAAAATAGGAAAAACAAGAACAAAATTTTAAAAGAAACCCAACATACAACAAACTGAAGTCAGCAGTTTCATGGGCAGCATAATGACCTCCGGTTTTAAGACTAGCAAGCACCAGCATTTGTTTGCAGTAGCTTCTCCTGCAGTTGGTAATAGGGAACTCCCGGCCCCAAAGCATCTGTGTTCCAAGCCCCCTCCTTGCGAAGCTCGATGGAAAGGGGACATCTACTGGCAGCAAAGATTAGTGTGGGCAGAAGAGGCCGAACCAACGGTTTAACCAAATTACATCCACCGATGCTCCTGACAAATCTAAAAATTCCTTCTCCTGCCATTAGATAAGGATTGCTAAAAAAGAAAAACCCACAGCAAAAGATATTCTCTCAAAGACACAGCTAACATTAAAAAGATAAATCAGTACTTTGGTAATATTTACAGAAGGGAAGGCAATTTATTTAAACTCTTTTTATTATCAGCAAGCACACAGAAAGCAACATAAAATACCTACTCTCTTAAAAATTGGTTATTTAAAGGAAAAATTAGTATAATAACACACTAACAAAAGAAATGGCAATTAGTAAGTCTAGACTAACATGCCATCATCTTTATTTGAATATTCACATTTAACTGCACATCCAGCTAAATAGCCCTCACCTGTTTATATAAAAAAAAAAATAGGAGGAAAAAACACCAGGTCCTTGGTTTAGTTTGGATTTTCTTTTTAAAAATTTGTAAAGCAATTAGACCTAGAAAGGAACAATTTTTAATTGACTATTGGCAAACCTTGGCACAATTCAGGAATTTTGTGCTTTAGAATATTTCAAGTCATCTTTAGATGCAATCAGCTTTTACCAGATACTGTAAGCAGTTGGCTGAAAATTCATTACAACCAATTTTGCCAAATACAGCTCTATACAAAACAAAACACAACTCGTTAAACTGCCAGCCTTGCAGTTCATTTAACTGACTGAAATAAAACAAATATCGTTTAAAAAAATAAGGAGGTGAAGAGCTCTTTTTCTTAAAAAAAAATGCGGAATTAAATTTCGCTAATAAAAGTTTCTTGAAACTATCTTAGTTTACAGAAACAAGCAAAACTTATAAGACTATCTAGAGTGAGTCTGCTCTGCAGATGAAGAAATTCCAACAGCAAACACCTAATCCAGAAGCACAACTGCAATTACTGAAATAGAGAATGGCTCTGCAGTCTCAGCTCATCACAAACAAAAGTAATAGGAATAAACTGTCTTTTCTATAAGCTGGGCAGGAACACCCCATGGGATGGTCCAACAGAGAAATTATTTCTAGGTAAAATTATCAGTATCAAGAGAACAGGACCAGAAGTGAGTAAAGGAATCATCTTCAAACCAGCAGTATCAGAAGTACAAAACTAGGGAAATAAATTCAAATAATGCTAACTTCATTCCTCAATTAATGGAGGAATATGGCAACGCAAATGCAGGTAAATCATTTTGCTGAATGCAAGCACTGAAGAAGTTTCCTTTTGATAATCAAGTTTCATGGCTGTGAGTACCCTTTCTTTAACAACAATAAAAGTCAAATCATAGTTCTTTACCAAACTTCACTTCTTGGGTGAAAAGAGGTAAAGCTTAACACTTTCTGTATTTTTCTTATTCTGTTAAACCACATGCACGTAAAGACAGCAACCCCTTTGATAAGTCTTTGTAACACAGCATAGTCTAAAAATTCAATCACAAGGAGTAAATGCATTCATCAAAGAATAAAAATACTTAGGCCTTACCCTAAGTGGGATTCCCAGTCTTCCCCAGAGACAGAAGCCACCATCCAAAGACATTTGATGCAAGTGTTTATCTTCTATTTGTGAAGAACTCTTGGATTTGAAGCCAACTCATCAGCTATAAAGCCTCTACAGCAAAATTGCAGGTTATCAGCCCCAAACCGGCACTACCTGGGGCTCATGCTGCTCACAGAAGTGCAGCTGAGATGTAAACGTAAGCACAGCTTCACTTTCAGAAGTCACCTGCCTTATCTGAGGGCTGGAGCCCTCAGAGCAGTTCTGCCTCAGCACAGCCCCTCTCACACCTGAGGCACAAACCCTGCGGGCAGCGGGGCACAGCCCAGGGAGGGGCGGCTCAGTATCGGGCTTGTTCCTCAGCTGAGGAAAGGAAACTCCAGACGCCACCTGCAGACACGCGGATGGCTGGGGAAAGCTGCTCCCATCCCAGGTGAGAGCGCTGGGACACGGCAGAGGGAACCCACAGACGCTCCGGGCCCTTCCGCCCCTGCAGCCGGACCCCAGGAAACCTCTCTGGCCCGAGCAGGCTCGGCTTTACCGCGGGAAGGGGTAAAACAACAGGCAGCTGGTACAGGTTTAATCCCATGTTGGCCTTGGGTGCCTGACTGGCCCTGCCTCCCCCCCACACACACACCCACCACCCACCCCAGCAGCACTTGGGTTTGTAACTGTTCCTCCCCCACCCTTCGTTTTCTTTTAGCACAAGCAAGAAGGTTAAAGTTCGAAGTAGGAGCATGCCCAGGTCGGGCCTGTTGTCAGACCCCCACCTGGGGGGTCTCTGGTCTACCCAAAATGCTGTCACTGCTCTTGCAATCATTTTACACAGATAACTGCTAAAAATTGGACACTGCTCCCACGTCCTGTGTGCTATGTTTGGTACAAGCGCAAACATGAAGCCTGAAATATCCAAGTTCACTTTCTATAACTAGTTTCAATCATCTCATGCTAAACAGGGATTGAAACAGCAGCTGGTGATGGCTAAGCCTCTTCTTAGGAGACAGGTAGATACACATTTTGCACATGGCAGAGCTTGTTTGCAATTTCCATTCATGTTACCATGGGACTGTATTTAAAAGCAGAACTGTCATTATTGTCAACTAATCCAGAAAGGTGTTAGAGGAGTAAGGGAAGTATGTTTGTATAAATGATGGCTGATGTTACTTAAGGTAGCAGCCCTGGCTCAGCTTACCAAGGAAAGAGAAAAACACAAGTTCCATATGTTTTTTTTTTTAAGAGGAAAGTAAGGCATTTCAATAGATTGCAAAGTCACAACCAAGATGTGACCAGCTGGACCATGGCAGACTGTAACAATCTAATAAATGGACTATGAAGCTCCCAAATTTTTTAAAACGGGAGCTACAAATTTAGGGAGCTAAAATTTTTTTAAAAGCATTCTCCTCCAAGGCATTCTCCTCCAATTAACATTGGGAATGTTAATTAAAATTATACAATACTTTCTACTATTCAATTACTTTAAAAGTAAGGTTTGGCAGATATCACAAAGATAAATCTTGAAAACAGAGTAATGCAAACATTCTACTTTAAAATAATGTAAAAGCTTTTCCTCCAGTCCCACCCAATTGTCCTGAAACTTCCTTTGGGAGATTTTAATGCTGAATGGCATCTGGCATGAGATAATTCTGACCAGAGAGAAATAAACCATATTATCTTTACATGTTTCCCTCCCCTTCTCCATTTTCACAATAAAAAGGCTGACCGGCTCCATCATAACTTAAACATAGCATTTTGGGTTGCACAGAAAAGTGAGTGCCCATTAGGTCAATTAAATCCAAACATGAACACAATTTCAAGTTCAATACTTTGTTTCCTCTGGCAACAGAATGAGAACACTAAGCATGTAAACAGTTACATCACCCTTGCCTAAAAAGTGTTCCACTACAAAAGAAACATGCCTCATGCATATTTCTGGCTTACCAGCACATGCAAAAAGGAAAAAACAAAACAAAACAAAAGTCACACCACTCACTCAAAATACAAATGCTTATCTAACTCTAAAAGAGAAAAATGTGTATGAGGTTATTTATCAAATAATGATGTTCTGTGAAAATACATCAAACCAAAGCATACATTAAACCAAAGCTTAAGGTACTTTCAAAAGCCAATGCACATAGTAAGCATCTCTTTTATTTGTTGTAATATAAAGAAGCATACATCATTCAGTTCTTTAAAGTACAACTCAAACTGTATACTAACAAAAAGGATCAATTCAGACATCCATGAACATGTCAACAACAGAATTCGTTATATTTTGCTCTGCTGGTATTGCACTTGGAATGGTTTTGAAGTAAGGCACAGTAAAAACAAAGTCATTTAGTGCTTCTACAGCAGATGTCTTTTTTTAAACACATGCTACATGACGTAAAAGTACTTCTAGCTTATGTATATACACACAGGGAAAAAGAAAAAAGCATGCACTAGAGAATTCAGATTCCAACATATCTTGTTGTTTCATAATATACAAATAAAGTAGTTTAAAGATGTAAACAAATTGCATGCACATAAACTAGAGCAAAATCTTCAATACAGTATCTGAAAGCTATTATGCTTAAATAAAAAAATATAACTTATTAGTACTCAGGTTTATGTGCCATTTTTGTCCTGTAGAGATTAAAAGTTTGGGGCTAGGGGGCAGCAAGTTATGGGCAGGCAGGGAGAGTTTCTGATTTTGATGTTTGTTTAATTTTTTTTGCTTTACATGTTGGCAGCAGTACACTGGTAAGAAAGACAAATATGGCTTTTGCAAAACAAGGTCTAATGAAAACATGAAAAAGCACAATTGGATTTGGAGTCCGGCATCCTGATATTTTCCAGTTGAGAACAATACAAAACAAAAATCAATATGATCTACGCTTTGAACTGGGTAAGCCATGCATTCCAAAAGACCTTTCTAAAGACACTTAAACTCTACAAAAAACGAGACACTTTGTTCAGTGTAAACTCTTAAAAACTAAACATAGAAGAATCTGAATGACTCAAGCTTCGCTTTCTACTTCAAATGCTACTAAGTTTCTCCCAATGCTGCAATAGCTGAAGTGCTATTAGACTGTCTTCAGAATTAACTAGATGCCAGGAATGGTTTACTTATTTTTACACAAGTATATTAGAAATTAAGTAAATTAACTGCATAAATTTTGCTTTCACTTTATCTTTGGCATAGGATGCACCGTTTTTCAAATTAAGTACAGGACATTTACCACTCTGCATTCCAACTTGTTATGCTGAAAAGGCACATTTGTTGCTGCCTGGGTGGCAAGGGAAGACTTCTGATTTTGCAAAAGGCACGGTGTTGAGTGCGACATTCTCTCCTCATCCCCCAAAGAGTGTTTAGTTAGACCAGGTACAATTCTACATAGCGGCTTCCCAGGAGCTGTCCATTCTTCTCAGCCACTGCTTTCTTAGCTAGATCCAGGCTTGGAAAAGTCACCAATGCCTCGCCACTGGGCTGGCCACTAAAGTTGTAAAGCATGAGGATGGAATCTGCTTGGAGCTGCAATGGTACAAGAAGACAAAAGAAAAAACTATAAAATCCAGAGACCACACCTGGAAATGCAATTTCAGATGCTGCACATCTGGTTCACTCTGCACCTGTGTCTGTGGTGAAAACACTCTGGATGTTGAGAATGGGAAGGAGGAGAAGGTATCGAAGATTAAAAGAGTTCAACTTTTAGTTTGGCAAACAGCAGCAGCTCATATTCTGCTGTTGTGCTGAATAGAATCATGTAGACATAATTCCATGCAAAAATTTTGCTAGGGAAGCAATTGAAATTAAAGGTTGATAAGAAAATAAAGACATAGATGTTAATAAAAGGTAAAGGGAGCAAGAAAGTCCAAGCATTTAATGAATAGTTCTTGTACTATGTAGACTACTGGCCAAGTGACAAAGGAGATATATATATAAGGCATGTCAATACTCACATGCACAGTTTAAAACAAAACAAAACCACATCACATACACAAAAAACAAAAGAGTTGCTAAGAGTTCTGTGTTGGGAGGATGAGTTGAACTCAACACAGATATACAGCACATGAAAGATTTTTCAGAAAAATGAAGTAAAATTTGGTGCAGTCCAACTGAAATAAGTACTTATTGTAATTTTAACAAAGTTAAGAAAAAGCAGGGTAGCCGATGAGATTATTTAGCCACTGGAGTTGATTTACTTTGCAGAGCATTTGCCCTCATAAAGTCTTAAAAGGTAGTGCCAAATTGCTGAGTTCAAAGCAGACATCTGCCCTGCTGTACTCCATCCCTTTCCTATAACATGCAGGAAGTACTTCCAAGGTAAGTTTGGAACCCCTGTTTGTTGGATAAAAATGAATCTCAGTGAAGTTTCAAAGTCTGAAGGATCAAAACTCAGCATACAAGGTTAATTTGTTGGAGAAAACAGTGTCAGACAAAATCATGCTGGAGAACCAACTAGTTTTAGGATTATTAACCCAATTTGAGTTAAGTTCATGTAACATATGTCCTGTTGAGTTTATAAAAGGTTAAAATATTTAGGGGTTTCCTTTTTGTAGAATTTGTGTGCCTGGTATACTGTAAAAAATAGAGTTCTCAGTTATTACCAAGAGCAGTTTCTGACAGCTTTACCTTCAAACATATGAAAATAAAGCAAGTATGAGCCAGAGCTTCACTTACCCAAACACTGAGCAGGCAGTACAAATATTCATAAGATGTAAGCAACGGTACACATAAGAAACCAAAAGCATGCATAAGACAGTTAGTACAGACTTTGCATTATTTCTTCTCAGATAACTAAAGTTAGTCAAGAAATAGCATACAGAAAGAAATTCAAAGACAAATAAAAATGCTCACGTCTAAAACCCACTTCAAGTTTGGAAGTAATCTTGGTTTATTTCAGAATAACACTGTGCTCAAAGAGAAAGTTGAACACAGTTTGGGTTAAGTCACAAATCTGAGCTAAAAGATGCTCTACTCTAAACAAGCTCTTTGTTATTAATCCATATGGAATCAAGTCATTTACCACCAGCCCAGAACAGAAATTTAATATTGCAGGTTAGAGTCAGCTGAAAACACACATGGAGCACAGTTAGACCTCTAAGCACAGAGAAGAGCTTTAAAAACATAGTTTATTGGTGTAATACCAATGTAAGGGTCTGGAAATTCATGTTATAAGAGTTACATAGAAAGCTAGCAGGGAAGTTTACGCATTCTGCAAGGATTATAATAAAAAGAGTTAAATAAACCCCTTCAGTTTCATTTTAAGACACACTAGTGTTAAGTTCTCATTCTTTCAGATTTATAGAGATAGAAATAGATTTTCTTTATGTATATATGTGTTTTATAACTAGATCCAAATTCATAGAAATATTTTTCTGTATTTTTTTTAATGGTAAAAAGAGTGGTATATGTATAATACTACTTTGAACCACTTAGAATTCAGGAAACAACTGAGTTGATGGTGTTTATGTGAAAGTACCTTTGTCTGTGAAGGTAATTGTCTCAAGGCACAGTATTTAATTGCCATATTTGTACTAAAAGTTTGTTGTGTTTTTTTTATTTAAAGAGGAAAAAAAACGTACTGACTAATCAGTAGCAGTTTGAATGGAATACAATAGTACTGGGACATGAAGTACTCCATACAGGCCATAACAATTTCTTTAAGAATTATGTGTTAGTGCCAAATATGCAGGCAAGTTTACTGTTAGCAAACCTAGTTAATTGCATCAGAAGTGACTATACCCAAGAAACCTCTCCTAAAAAAATAATGTAGTAGTTCACATTGCACTAGAGAGATCAAGAAACAGAAATATTAATCTCTAGCCAGTTATATGATACAGAAGAGACAAAGCCAGAGCTCTGGGTTTTTTGCCCACACCTTAGTGGGTGCTTTGTAGCAATAGAAAAAAAGAAAAAAATCATCTTCTACTACTCTACTGGAAGTAAAATATTGGACTGGAAGCTTTACATGAGAAACAAGCACTAATAAACCCTGCTGGAAGTTTAACACACCATCTAAGCAGAGCCAGGCTACCTCCACCACTGTATCCCAACTACAGATCACAATGGGCCCATTTCCTTAGGTTAGTTGATTTTTTAAGCAAAAAGTCTAATGCAAGGATCCCAATGCAAGCTAATAAGGGAAAAAAGCCACAAGAAAAAAAAATCTCTATCACCAAGCCCTTCTTTCCCTTCCCATTCACCTCTGGAGACACAGGTTCTGCCAGTGGTATCTTACCTTCTTCAGAAGTTACAAAGAGTTACAAACAGACCCACTCTTTCGGTGCTTGTAACACACTCCTGGCTTGATCGCTCAGCTGAATAAGGCCATTGTAGTCATCGGGTGCATACTACAGTACAAGTGTGATATGTGATAATCAGCAAGAGAAGGAACAGTCCTGGTACAGCAAGCCACACAGATGATCATTTGCAACCTTCATTAAGAGCATCAGCTATAATAACTGGCAGGAGACAGTGAATTTGACATGCTATTTTTATGTAAGATTAAAAAAAATACACATCAACTGTATTACTGGTCATAGGAATAGATATAAAACAAATGCTTGGGGGAGGAAATTCTGAACTGTATTTGAACTGTTCCTTATCGAGAAAGGGGAATAGCTCAGATTATGAAGTGCTCCTTTTTTTTTTTTTTCATTCTACTCATGAGATGGCAGCATCAGGTAACCAAACTCTTCAAGTTTGCATGAGCATAATCACACCTCCAGTAATGGCTCTCACTGGGACAGATGAGCATCTTCCAACTGAAGTGCAGATTGGTAGAAGTGCATGCATCTCGTTTAGATCTTTTATGCACCCATAGAAATAAACTGCAACTTCTCTAGGGTAGAGTGATAAACACTTTAACTACATACAACGCTTGCACTACATAGACTACACCAATGCCATTAAAGAAAATCAGTGTCCTGGCATGAATGCACCTACGAGATAAAATTTATCCCAGTATAGTATATTTCTACATAGAAAAAAGAAATAAATGATACAGTGTAACTGCATCAAGATAGATTTGTAGAGGTAGTACATTAAAATAAAAATAGTGACTATACAGTACAGTCACACCAACAAATTAAAACAAAAGCTTCATTTATGTGTCAGATCTATGAATTACCTGGTCTGGTACAAATATAAAACATGTAGTCAGAAAATACATCTTGGGGAATATGAAACATTGTTTTTATCTCATAATCTTGCTAAATTACATATCCTGGAAAAGGACTGAGAATTCTTGCACATGCTGCAGAGTACTCGAGGGGCTCCTATAATCCAGAAGACAAAGCGTGTAGCATAATGCAAATTATAGAATATCCTTTTTGGTGGCAAGAAGGGTTTTCTGCCCTGAAAATGGCTGTTTTGTATTAACATTTTAGATGATTGCCAAATGCACACAATATGCTGCCTTCCTTTGATATTTCTATAATACAAAAAGTCTCCTGCCAGCTTAGGGAGAAAAAGGTGTTATATTTGGGCATACAGGACACATTGTATCCATCCAAAGGGAAGTCGAAAAGAAATAAACAGTCAGTATACACCTTTCAGAGAGAACAATAACCAGGAGCCCAGAGAACATAAAAGGAAAGAACCTCCCAGAATTTTTACTACTGAATTCTAGTCACCTTCACATCTAGACCCATGCCATTAAGTAAAAGACAAATATAAGAAGTATTTTCTAGATAGTCTCTGCCAGGGCAACCAGACCGTGCAAATATTAGATTTATCAGTTCCCAGACCTGCCCTTTAAACGAATCTACAAAATGTAAGTTTACTCTATGGAAAGAATGTCTCAAGATAGTACATACTTTAGATTATCAGTAGATGTACAGTAGGCAAAGATCTACTGGTTCTTGTGAGGGACAGTATTTCAAAGGTTACACTTGAAATGCAATAAACAATGTCAAAAACACAAAAGTGGGAAAACTATCCTGCACAGAAAGTCAAGGTTGTCAGAGCTTAGGCTCAGCCCTAAAGAAAGAGAAAAAGAAAGAAGAAAACTAAAATCATCAAAAGACCTAGCAACAGAAGTAGCTTCTAATCACAAGGATAGGTAAGAGACTGCAGTCAATTAAAACAGAAGCTGTGGAACAGTAAATTCTTCAAATGAAATAAAGACTACCCTAATTTGCCTGAGTAAGTACATGATCGTGAATACTTCTGATTCTGTCTGCATTGCAGAACCCATAAGAACAAAAATATTCAACCACACAGGACAAAACCAAGGGTAAATTGATTAATAAAGAGGTAGTATACTTCACTTCCTCTTTGTAAATTTTTTTTTTCCTATTTTATTTCTTTTGTCTATGGTGAGGGAAATATGGGACTGTTCTCATCGCCTCACAGACTATGCACAGATTTAACCAGGTCACTAACCAATAAGTCATTGATTTCCATTTCATTTTTACAGTTTCTACAGTGAACATATAAAGCTCAGTCTAAAACCAGCACATATAAAGCAATCGGGGGCAGGGGAACCCACTGCTGAAAAAAACAATCAGGAAAGTATATTTAGATACACCTCAGCTGGGAAAAAATGGGAGCAAATAAAAGGAAAACATCATAGGAAAAATGGCCTCTTCCTGGATGGCAGCTGCAATTATGGCCTAAACTATTAATAAACTATAACAGAACAGTTCCCAGAGGGATCTCTCAGACTTCAGAAAAAAGCCTAGATAGACTAAGTCTAGGGCATAAAATGAGATCTGATGACTAGGTAACTGCAACCTGTAGCACAAGAGTCAGGAGAAATACCCTAAACTGGTTTGCCCCTGGAACGTATCAATTGTACCGTAAAAGTGCTGATACTCACCAGCAACCACATGGCTTCTCTGAGGAAGAGACACCACTGGAATGGTTTGTGTATCAGAGACTGCCTGTCTCTGTATCCAGGAATGCCTGTTCCCAACAATGTGGCTTCAAGGTGGTGCCACTTTAGTCTTGCTTCAAGCACGGGAGGCAGACAGACAGAAACCGGAACCACTAATTTACTAGTTCCAGTCTCGTAGATGGTTTCTCCACACAGGCAACACTTTCAGGAGGAAGATACATTTAGGAATAAGATAAAACAAACAGCGTGCTCTATTCTCAGAGTGGGGGAGTGAGCATATAATAGTGTCTGTATTGCCAGATGACTTCAAATACCAGTAAGTTGGAATTATTCCTCTACTACATCGCCTTTACCTTCCCTAGTCAAAATATGCTATCCCTAGGATTGGCACACACACAGTGGGGTGTCCTTCTCAGACTACAAAGAGTCAGATTTCAAAAGGAATCCATAGGAAACAGAGAATACTTCCTTGTTTGAGCATGCACTTCAGGGAAAAAAACCTAACCTCTAAAAAGTCAGTAACAATGAAATCAGCTGTCCTGATACAAGAGAGAAATGTTACTAATGCCCTCGGAATTTAGTCATGCATCCACTTCCTTTCATTTCCTTGTTACTCTTTTAAGCACAAGTCACTCTCCTCTCCTCCACTGACAGGCCTTGAATTCTGGGTCTCTGAAGACTTGGAGGATTAATATACTGCAAAAGCACTTTTTAACTGCGGACAAAAGGCACCAAAGCCCAGTACAGGTTTAAAGAGTAGTATTTATTTTAAGCTTCTCTTACCCAAAAACATGTACACAGAAGTCCCTACGTTTCCATCCTAGTCTTCTTCAGCAAATTCAGGAGGCTTTATTTAAAGTTCAGATTGTGCCCATGGCCCTTAAATCTTAGTCATCTTCTAGTTTATTTTTTTTACTACTATACTTATGACTTACCTAAATAGCAGTCTGCTTTCTAAGAACTAATCCACAGGGTCTTTTTCAGGCAGGCATGAATTCACATTCATGCCAGTCTCCAAGAAACTGGGGCAAGTACTCCTAAATGCGTGCTGAATCCTAGCCAAGACAACAGCTGTGAAGTAGCTTTGGTCCGCTAAGACCCGGGGCACAGTTAAATTGTGTCTGCTTATTCATTAACCTAACAGTTCTTGTCACGATACCAACTGTGTCAGTATTTGCATTCTCATAGAAAAACAAATAAAAGTCAATATTTGGAGACTAGAAATATTTCTCATTGATTTGTTCAGTGGCTAAATAATAAAATCCACAGAGAGTTTAGCAAAAAAATGGGAAAAAAAAATACTTTATTGAAAAAATTTGTTCTGATACGCACCAACTTCACATAAATCCATGACCACTACTACCCTTGTTCCTTCCTTATTTACTTGAGTTTTCCCACTGCTTCTACAGCTGTACAGAGTGTGACGGCCTAAAGTAACACTGAGAAGTCTTGTTGCATGTAATTATTATTTTTGCACCACTTCTTCTAGTAGGTGTTTTAGCATTTGTCACAGCAACTACTGTCACCCCACTTTCCTATGAATTGCGTGGTGAAGTTTTTGATTTCATTGTTTTGGTTATTTTGGGTTTTGTTGTTTTTTTAATGTAGTTTTAGTTGGTTTGGGTTTTGTTGTTATTTTTTAGGTATCCTTTAGCTGTGTATCCAGTATACAATGGGACTCAAATCAATGGTCCTGTTTCATTACAGTGCAACTAAAAAGCAGTCTAAGATGTATTACTGAATCAGAGAGTACTAACATTAGCTGTTTTGAAGATTGCAGTACACTACAATATTATACAGAAAGGTAATGGGGAAAATTACCACCTCTAAGATTTACTATTAAAATTCTTCACAAGTTTTTGGTTATTTAATCCCAGTTACAATAAATAGAAGGAAGTTTCAACAATAAAAACAAGAAAGCAGAACTACAAGAACAAATCAAGCTGCTGAAACACTAAGCAAGAGGGTAATGCTGATAAAATTAAAATTAAAATGCTGATCTGCAGACTTTAATATTATTTGTTATTAGAAGCATGTACTGATGTTGAGACCAGCTTGTTGAAGCCCATGATAAGCAAAGTCTATCTCTGAAGAGGCAGGTCTGGTATGAAAGGTGCTTTCATTTAAGCAGCAACATGTGCATACATGCAATATACAGAGCCCATGAAGACTGAAGGAAAAAACCAGAAGAGAATAAAGGAAGTACTAAAACTGAAAACCCTGTTCCTTTCAGAAAAGGACATACAAAGACAAAAATCACCCTTCAATCTCAGCATCTCCAACCTGGTTCCCAGAGTACCAACACTGAAGCCCATTGAATACCAACATCAATTAGTTACAGAGAGATTAAAACCACACCCAAACCACTGATGATTATTAGGGGCTCACGTTATGAACAAGCAGAAGAATCATGTAATAAATCCTTGGGCAGCAGCAGAAAATGAAAAAATAATGTGAGGAAAGGGGAGGAAAAAAAGAAAAAAAGAAAAAAAAAAAAAAAAGATTAGTTATTGCTCCAGAGACATAATTTTGTCCCATTACAGTAAGTCTCCACCTCTTTTTCCCCTAAAGGAATGAGAGAGTATAAAACTAGCATTACCAAATGCAGGTTTCCAAGAACAATTCAAAAGAATTCCTTGGCTTCTTTATAAGATTTTGAACCCGATTTCATTTGGACAACATCTTCTAAAGAAACTGAAGAGGTGACCAATTTAATAACAGTAACTGATGATGACAGGAGGTTGCAGCAGCAGAATATATTTTTCACCTTGTGGCAAAATTTCTATTCATCTAATCCTTTAACTGTGCAATACAAACACCATGAACTGCTCTCCAAATGCAGAAAGAAGGGAAAGGGCAAATTGAGCAGACACAAAGTCAATGACCTGTTCCATGCACAGTCTGGTTCAGGTCACATTTTTCAAAGGTGCACTTACTTAATTCTAGCTGAATTTCAATTTAGAAAATACACTTCCCCACTTAAGGTTATAATACATCTACCATCTATCCACGAAAAGCCCCACTCAGTTGAAAAAAACTGCAAGGCAAAATATCAGTGCCTAAACAGCAAGATGAATTATTATTACTGTTTGTGTGGAAATCATGAAAGCCACAAACAATTGAACACGGTTTGAACTTTTTTCTGTTGAAGGAAAAGCCCTAAACCACAACAAATTTAGTTTCTTTTTAATGTTTGTCAAAATTTATCACACTTTTTATGTGCTAATCTTCAAATTTTTCCACTGAAAAACTGAGTATGTAAAACTGTTTTAAACAAATGTAACATTTGAAAAAGACACAACAGGTAGAGCACCACATCTTCCAAGTACTCAGAACTTGGAACATACACATTTAAGCATCTGTTCTCAGTCTACGTTCATTTACATAGCAGACATCTAGCTCTACAAATTAAAGCTCATTGTTCTTTAAGAATCTTAAGATTAAAAAAAGAAATAAAAAAGGAAAACATACCTTGCCTTAGTGTTTCATATTAACTGCTGCTATGCCTTAAAAAGAATCCACTTGCATCCTACGCTTTAGCACTATCACTGTAATCCAACTTACAGAATGTTGAAGGACAAACATGAAAAACCTTTTCACACAAATGACTTGCAGTGGTTTGAGACCCACCAAGAGGGTTTTGTCAGGGCTTCTGAGTAGTACCCAAAAGGGCAGAGCTGGCAGTTGTGTAAGTGCTGTTATTATCCACAGAAGTTAAATACAGACTGGAATATACCATATTCAATTATCTTTCTTTTTAATCAGCTTGTGATGACAAAACCTGGACATAGATACAATATCCTCTGAGACAAAGGGCAGAAGACATGAAAGGACTCATTCCATGAATTCAAAGAAGTGCAACTGGGAAAAAATGTTTGTACTTAGTGCTTGTTTTTTTAATTTATCAAGAAGACAAGTTTCTATATGTTTGCTCACTGAGAGCAGTCAGTCAGTACATACTGACTGAAATTATCTATAGCATGTAGAATATTTGCAATCAGGACAAATAGTTCAGAGACTACAGTTTTCCTTTAGTTTGCAATGTAATGCAATTTTAATGAACAATATTCCTGGCTGTGACCAAAATAGTCAGTACTTGAAAGAGTGTCTGACAGAGGCATCTGTCTTTCTCTTTTTGCAAAAAAGTCACCACACCTAGCTCAGAGCCCTCTGTACTAGAAATTTACTCTCAGCAGACTTTAACACTTAAGTCTTGAAGGACAAACATGGGCCCTCCCTAAGGCTCCCACCAAATAGTGGTCAGGAATGAAAGTTTTTGGGAGCCCCCACCTCCCTCTGGCAGCCCCTTCACAGCCCCACTCACAGTGGGGTTCTGCACTTTCTTGCTCTTCAAGCTCAAACTCTAAACCTATACACAAAATCACTGCTTTCTAATTAGGATATGTTTATTATATAAGAAGTAAGGCAAATTGTGTGTCACACTTTAGTCTGTCAGTTAAATATGGAGCCTCACACTTGTTTGGCAGTTTCCAAAAGCACTCACTCAGCTCTGTTTGATCTCCACTGATCAGTATTCAGAGGTCCAAGTACAGCGTCAAGCACAGGAACTGTAAACTAACCTGGTATCCCTGGAAGAAACTGAGTATCTCCTTCATTCCTGTGTTGTATGGCAAGCCCTGCATACGGACCAATGCTCCAGGCTGGGGCAGAATCGGAGTGTGGGTGGCAGTGGCAGCAGCAGCTACAGCTCCTGGAGGAGCTGCAATGTACCCCACTGTTGTAGGAGATACTGGAGGACTGAAAGAGAAAGAGGGAGCAAAACTGTTATGAAAACCAATAGTTCTTGGAACAGGCAAAGATGAATCTGAAAATTTAAGTCTGAAAGTAAACCCAAATACCACAGAAAAACAAACAGCCCTGATGTAGATTGCTCTGTGGACTTCCATAATTTTTCTTCAGTATCTGATAATCTAATTTTACAGAAGGGAGAGAAAGGAAAATAGCTACCATCTGTAGTTAAAGACATAAGGAGTGGCATTTGTTATTTCACAGAGGAGAACAAAAAAGTAGCTGCAGAAGACTTAAAATAGTTAATAAAATCATAAAGAAAAAAAAGGGGAGGGGTGTGTCATAATATGAAAAGCAGGCAAATGCCCAAATCTGGCATTTCTGAGCCACAAAATAGTGATGAGTTAGCATCTCCAGCTCTGGTCAGGACCCATCTAGCAAATTACCACATATTCAAGCTAGCGAGTGTCATGAGCCTAGGAACTACCAATGAACAAGCTATTTCCCCATGGACCCAAGTACCAGACTTAAGTGACTCATGCTGATACCATCTGTGGGAAGGAAAAAGGTGGGAGATCTGCTTTGCTTTCACATGTAAAAGTGTTCTTTGGTCTCACTGATACACAAAATCACAATTAGTACACACCTATGATGAGCCTTTCAGTACGGAAACAGTGTTGTAAGTAAAAGAACAAACTAAGAGATGAGTGTGTAGAGGCATTTATTGACACAGTTTCTTTCCTGGCCAAGAAACAGAAATGCCTTGATGACATTGCCCCAGTGCCAAAAAACCCTGTTAAATATTAGACCAACATTATCATCATGAGATTCAAACAGAACCTACAGAAGAGACGAATTTCACTGCAAGGCCACAGAGAATCAGTTAAAATGGTTACTGCCTCTGCTACTAAACATCAAGTTTCCAGGATTGCCTACCCCAGAAGTACAAATTTAAGAGCTGTTCACAAGTGACCACACAGTTGCCTGCTCCACTGAGATGAAAGGTAAAGAGAAGTAGTTAAATCTTGCTGTTACCTGGGATAGTAAGCTGTGTAATTCATATAAAGCTGAGCAGCCTGAGCTGGGTAGTAGGTAACAGTTGGAGGAGCAGCTGCAGAGGCCTGGGGAGTCCTGGTGGTTGGCAACAGGGCTTGTGGCTGGTACAGTGCTGCCTCTGCTGGAATGACAGCTGCTGTCTGGAAAGCAGCATAAGCTGGTGGAGAGAGACCTACAACCAAACCAGGACACAGTAGCAAAAAGCAATTAGAATGGAGGTCTCCAGGAAGTATAATTCCTTTCCTGCAGCAATGTGATTAAAATTGATTAAAACCATGTGGGCATGATAGATGAACACATGAGCAAAGACTTGTCTCTAACCTTTCCACTGGAGACCCTTGCTATGTCACCATGAATGACAACTGGCACATTTGGAATGAGGAATTCCTGAAAGCTCACAATGCTAGAGCTGAGAAGCCTTGACAATATGTAAATGGAAAGTAGGGAACTTGAGAGTTATTCAAAGAAAGCATAAAGCCATGTGCATAGAGAAAGCAGGCGTGCACACCAACACACCCTCATTTATTTCAAACAGAAGTTGTACTCTGTGGGACAGAAGTATCATAATAGGAGCTACACATGGGCATCCATAACTGCTGACCATGAGTCTTCATGTGTAAGTTTCCTGTGACTTCAAAAAGTATTTTTAGGATTTATCAAATGGAAAAGAGAATATCCCACTAGATCGCTAGTCTGATATATTTTGACGAACAAATACCTAATTTGTATAGGAATATTAAACCTGGTTTGGTGTGCAGTCAGATTGTTTTCATATACTATATTTGGTAGCTTTTTACTGTTTTGCAAAACACATCAGTATCTGCTTTGTGATTTGATAGTGACACTAATTAGAACAGTACAGTAAAGGTCCATTATAGTTCCTCAATAAGGTTCACTGTAATCTCAAAATAAAAAAAATTAAAATCCACCTAACTTCACCACTCTGTGGTCTGTTAGTATATCAACCCAGTGGGTGTTTTCCTTCAAAAATAAGCCCAAAGAGTACCTTCTCAATGCTCTAAGGCAAGACAGCAAGAGCACTCATCAGCAGCTAGAATATAGAACTTCTCCCTGTTTTAAAAATCCCCTAATTCCAAGTAGGTTTCACTACAGGGAAGTCTACCGCAGAGCTCAAAAGAACAGTACACCCATAAAAAGCAAAGTGTGCAACAATTTCACTGGCAAGGCCTTGCCGCCCTCTACTCATCACCGAAAATACAATAAAAACGCCTCTGATCAGTCCCATTATTGCCCAAAGGGAACAATTCCAATCTCAGCATGTATATTGATCATGGCAAAACCCGAGTCAAAAGGTGAAAGGCCACAAAGCTTCAGCACCTACCACATGTCAGCCTTTAGCAGCAGAGAGCAGAAGAATTGGAGACTTACATGGTAACTTACATGGCGGTGGGGATAAGCCACTACGATTTAAAGTGCCACCCATTAAAACAAAGTTCATCTCCTCTCCTGAACACTGGAATACTTCCACATAACGGTCCTTCATCATTTTTTTGTGACATTTTTGAGCCACCATAAAGGCTTTATCAGCAGATTTCATTTGGATAAAAGCATCACCTGATGGTCGTCCCTAAGGGGAGGCGGAGAAATAATTGTAAGTCAGTCAGATGACAAGAAATGCAGAAAGATCAAACATCTACCAAAAGACTGTATTTCTCTTCCTCCTCTGGCAGTAATGACTATTAACTCAACAATTATTTATGGGAGCAGAAAAATCAAGACACATGCAAGCAGTTCCTAGTTAACACAGTGCTTCAGTTTTCTGCAGAAAAAAACAGAGAATCATGAAGCATGGAAAAAAAGTTTGGAGGCCTCTAATCCAAAGGCTGCTCAAAGCATGACAAACCTTCAAGTTATATCAGGCCACTCATTGCCTTCTCCACTTGAAATCTTAGCATCACCGGGGTGGAGATTCCACACCATCTCTGGGAACCTGTTTGGATGCTTAGCTAATTTCTCATTTTGTTGATTTTGTTTTTTCCTTTTCACCTAAATGGGATTTTTCTTGATGCAGTTTATAAATACTGTCCCTTATTCTTTCGCTGTGAAGCTCTAGGAAGAGTCTGGCTTTGCCTTCCCTGCAACTACTTTTTAGGAACAACAGTATAAAGCTCCAGATCCTTCAGCAAAGCCCATAGTTACATCAGAAATTGATTTCCAGGTCTGCTTTTATGCAATCTGACAGACATAGTTGTATACATAAAATACTAAAAATTTCCTTAACCAAAAAAAAAAATCATCAAAGCAAGTATAGCCAATCTGTTTCACTTGTTTTCTTTCATACCTCAGTATTTCTGTGGCTAAGGGTTTATTTTTAACACAAGGCAACAGAGAAAATATATCCCTATGATCATGTCATTAAAATATACTCAAAACACAATTTTTAATTGTCAGCTTCCTTTAAAGCCTGAGAAATCTCTAGTCAAATTAGAAGTTAGGAAAACCTAATTTTGACACAAATACTACTCAAACAACACAGCAGGAACCCTGAGGTTGACAGAGTAGCTATGCCATCTAATAAGAAACATTTCTGTCTTGTATATCTCCAGCACCTCACTGAAACATAAGAACCACTTCAACAGCCTCCAGGGTAAGGTTATCACTATAAGAAGAGGTTTCATCCTCCCCTGACTGATGCAAAAGTCTGTATGTAAAAGGGGAAGAGAAATGAGGGAAAGAGACAAAGAGAACATTGTATTTTCCCAAAGTTACAGAAGACTAAAGCACAGCCAAGATCAGCTAAGCTGCCCTGACTTCTAACTCCATTCAAACACTGGAAAGTCAATCCTCCTATGCAAAATGCTGTTACCTGTTGATTAAGGACCATGTGAACTCCATGGGGCTTGATATCCCCTGTGGCGTCTCCCATAAATTCCAAGATGTCATCAATGCCAGCAGTGTAAGGAAGACCTCTGAGTCGGACACAGTCACGCATGCTGCCCGTGGCAATGGTGTAGGGTGGGGGTATGACTGGAATGATGGGAGTTGGGAGAGTTGGGATAAGAGGCGTTGACATGTATCGATTAAGTACCTGTTGGGGAAAAAGCACAGCGACAGATTTACACATCATCTGCCTGAGCACAGATCAATTCTCGCAGTACTATTTCCAACAGCATAGAAAAAAAACCCCTTCTTAAACCAAATTATTGCTGTTAATTTCCCGTTGGGCATTTCAAAATTTCAAACTCAGAAGGGGATTGGGAAAGGCTAACAAATTCAATTTGCTAGACCCTAATAACAGACTTTTCTAATGTCAATATAAAAATGGTTAAAAGCCAAGTACAGTTAATTTTATAATATCTAAAACCATATTTGTGCTAATAAACCAATATTGACACATACAGTTCTTACTTAAGTTAGGGTTGATTAAAACCAGTCATTTTAAAAGAACTGAGACCAGAAATAACCAGTAAGTAAAAATATGAGCTCTAATTTATTCATAAACCCTGATTAAGTGAGAGTGCTCATCTCGAAGTACAGAGCTTCTGAAGAAAACAATCAAACAAATAAATAAGAACTATAAGAGACTTCGATCTCAGCATGTTCTGTTGACTCATTCCCAAATGACAAAGGGAACATATGATGTGTTAGGGCTTAATGGTGAAAAACATTTTTAGTGATGATTATCACAAATAAACACACTCTACTGAAAGAGGTACCAAAAAGAAGGTTACAAAGCTTTAGTTTTTCAAAAGTGATTCTTCTTAGTTCTGAGTCTCACAGCCAATAGTTACAACCTGTTGGACTTCTGCTGCTGTGCTCCTGAAGAGTTCTATGTAACGTTTCCCAAGTATTTCTTTGTGCTTTTTAAGTGCATTTTGTGCATATTCTTCACAGGAAAATAACACAAATGCATCTCCTGTGGGTCTGCCATCTGGGTACTTGACAAAGAGAAGTCCCTCTTTCCCTCCTGTGACTGGGCACTCTGGCCCCAGGAACCCCAAGACATCCTCGTGCGTAGCAGTGAATGGAAGGCCTCTCATCCGGATGATAACTTGATTCTCCTTGGATAAGAACTGGGCCACTTCATTGGAGGTGCCTGGTGGAAAGATAACAGCATATGGCCAGGCTGGTCAACTCCGTAAGACAGAGCAGTGGTAAAACAGTAAGGAAAAATACAGGAGGTAAGTAGATAGCAACGAACCCACAGAAGACCTGAGACACTGCTAACTCTCAGCAACCTATTCTGAAGTGAAAATCTTCTACCCTGCAAGTGTTTCATATTTTAATGAAATTGGAACAATGATGAGATTAGTGTGAACTTATACAAGTCCCCATAGATGCCTCCACTGCAAGAGCTCATCTTCCTCCCAAACAGCAAGACCTGCCTGTGAACATCACAGCCCAAATGCTGACAGCTCAGTTTCAACCATGGGAAAACAGAACTTGGCAGGTCAAGTATTCTTGGAAGGCAAAACAGGAAAAGCTACTTCATTATCCATTTGCATCCTCAGACAAGAAAAAAACATCAGAACTAGAACAACGTTCCTAGGGACTTAAGTAATCACACTGAACTCCAGCATCACTTACCTCCTGCAATTTTTAAGAATTCCTCCCCAGTTGCTTTGTAAACCTTAGAGAAAAAGAAAGAACAAAAAAACCCTATGTGAAAATCACAACCTTCAACTCTAAACCACACACAAACTCTTTCACAAGCCAAAGAATTGTATTTTGGTACTTGGAGCAAAACAGAAGTGTAGTTTGTTCTCATTTAAAACCATGGTCTAAAATATTCATGTTACTCTCCAAAAATTTATTTCAAGTCACAACTTTTTACCTCAATGTATCTGCTGCCCATGTGATGCTTATGTCTTTCCAGTGCCAGGTCTCTCTGTTCAGAATTGACAAATCGAACTAATGCCTCCCCATTTCTTCTTCCTTGAGAATTTAGACAAAGAGCCACACCACCTCTGGAAGGCAAAACCAACCAAAACAAATGTAGTTTGACTCTTTAATACAGATAATACACTAATACAAAGAATTGTGTTAGAATAGTAAAGAAATCAGATTTTAACACGAAGGTTACAGATTGAAAAGGAAATTGCTACTACCCACAATTTAATTTCATTTTTGATGTAACACGATTATGCTTTAAAATCCACTCCACTGAGATCATGGATCTAAGGTTGCACCACTTTCTCAACTTCCATGAAAATGCAAGTTTGCAAGTCCTTCCTATCATCTCAGAGATGCAGATTTTGATTTCCTCAGAACTCTAAAGTAAGAACTGTATTTTCTCAGTGTTGAGAATCCAGAAAATATATTAAGTGACGGATATGCTAAACTAAACTTACTTTCTCTCTCTCTCTCTCTCTCTCTCTCTATATGTATACACACATACCTCTATACAGAGGTGTACACATGAGTCATATGAAAATTTCTTCCAAACAGAGAGGTTTGTGAATCTGGCCTGTTTAGGAGGTAGAGCAGAACACTGAAGAGCTGGTAAAAAATTAAAGTTTCTGTTGTATCCTGGATTCTGCTTTAATTAATGCAATAGGAGTTTCTCCCTTTAGATAGGAATGTATGTTGGTTTTCAATTGATAAGTCTCTTTCAAAACTCTCTCGCACACTTAAGGTTGGTAAACCTGTTCATTTATTATGACCACAGCATGGGAAGGGGTCAAATGGGAAAGACAGTGGAAGTCAGGACTCTAGTGGGAAGTGTGGGGGATGTGTCAAACAAATATTAAAGGAACCTGCTATTAAAGACAAAGAGACAAAGACAAATTCTTATTATCTTACTTGGCAATATTGAGTCCTTTGAAAAACCGAGCAATATCTTGGTCTGAAGACTGCCATGGCAAACCTCTGGCACGTATTACTGTCTCACTGTCCACAGTTTCAGATTTACTACTACACAGAAAAAAACAAAAAAACCAAACCAAACCAAAACAAACAACAACAACAACAACAACAAAAAACCACAAAAAAAAAACCCACACAAAGCAAGCTTTAATCTAGGTTTTCCATGATTTTACCAAATTTCGGATTGCAACTAATTTAACTGTAAACTGGGAGTATATTTCCTATTGAGACTCTTCTATTTCTATTTTTCATTTCAATAAAGAAAGGAAAGATAGCTGGGATTATTCTTTTATATATACACAACACTGAAGAGATGCACTATCTTGTCTCCACATTGCAGTTCCTTAAATGAAAAAAAAATAGGAAAACTTTCTTAAAGTAAAGTAATAAGGAACTGGATTAATTTTATTTGAAAAATCTAGCAACCCAAGATAGATGAGTACAAGGCAGTCCTAAATATCAATACAAATTACTTATGCCTAAAATGCTTCATTCTCCAGTCACCGCAATATATTTAAAAACAAAGAACATCCTGTTTCTTCTCTCCCTAAACTGAACACTCTCTCAGGAGCACCACACAGCTCAGTTGCCCATAGGGTGCACTGGCCATTACCCTGTTGACTCAAGGAAAGTTCACAAATATTTCCTCACCACTGGGTAAGATAAGCCAGCCTCACTGCCATGCAAAACAGCAGCAAGAGAACAAAGAGCATTTAACTTGCAGTGACTTTAAAGTACAGCATCCAACGTGCCAGCTCTAGTCTATCCACACTAGACTGACTGCTGAGTACACTGTTACTGCTCTCAGGAGCCAACCTGCTTTCGCAGTGACTATAGGGAAATATTCACAAGCCTTCCTTACTGTAGACAAGACTCTGCTTGTAAACAACTGTGACACTTACCAAGGGCCTGTTTCATACTTGGATTTCACAGTTTCAGGCTCAGTAAACACGTGATCTACAACAAACCAGAAAGCTTATATATAACCAGGATCAGAGATTACTTAAGAATGACATTCCCAATTCCTTCAGAAAAGAAAGATTTCTTTCTTTTTAAATAGTTCACTTACTACAACCTTCAGAGAGCATGCTGAAAATGATAGCCACCATGGTTTTCACTTGCCACACGCCAAAGTCCTCCTCCGCTTCATCTGTCCCTAAGCCTAGATCTGAACAGGTGATTATAGAAAATAACAGACTTGCACAATTGTTTGGAAACAAGTAATAAGGCTTTCCTGATATTAACACAGAACTGGTAATCAAATTTGTCTTTGCAGGGACATGTGAACATTAGACATGTTACTCTGCTCATAAAATGGTTAATATTCACTTTAATGGTCAATAGTCTGAAAACTATTGAGAGTTTACATAATTTCAGTGTCAACAATTAAAAAAAATAGCTGAATAAGTTCCTGTCACTTCAAACATAATAACTTCAATCACATTCAGGTGGCCCACAGGAATCCTCCTAATTTGAATTAAGATGTACAGTATTGTTTGGGTTTTGGTTTTGTCTTAAACTCAGTTCTGTCAGGATCATGCAGAAGACCTACTATTATATGCAAACAGTAGAAACTTGCAGGTCATCTGGTGATGAAAAGGCCACTGACAGCAGCTCAGTTTTTCCTTCAAGATCAAGTATCAATGCAAGTGATGCTTTTCTTTGGTGGATTTACTACATATGGTTTGGAAATCAGCGTTAGACTCAAACTGAAGGAAAAAAATTACAAGCAGAGCTCCCCCAAGACACATTGCTTCCACATTCCTTTCACCTTACCTATGAGTTTTTAAACCCCTCATCTTAGTTTAGAAGAATAAAACCTGTAATGATCCCAGGCATAACATTTGAGGAAGCATAATTGATTCTGAGATAAAAGCTGCAGCAAAAGGATACATTCTGCCATGGTCTTGATAGTCTGATCTTTCACGGCAGCTGAACTAGGGTAGCAAGTGTGAAATTCTTTGCGCAGATCATAAAAGGAATAGAAGCAGTCTGACAGCGGGAAGTTCTACAAAGAAGGCAGAAAGTTTGTTTTGTACACACTTTAAATTTCGATTAATATTTCTGGACTGAATGAGGCAGTCTCAAAAATCATATAGTTGCACGTCACCAGCTTTTGCGTGATTGAGCAGTTTGGTTCCTTTGTAATAAAATAATGGCCAGTCTTCGCGAGCGAAGATCCGGGGAAGGTCTTTACACCTTCCAGCCTGCGCATTGGATTTTTTAGGTGAGACACAGTGTGCGCGGAACTGAGCCCACCCTTTAATCCTAAGGTTCATCTGCCGGGGCCAAGCGAGCTTGGACGGTGGCAGCGAGGTCCTCAGGACGTAGATGGGTTGCCTTTAAGGGCTAACGAGCTCCACCTGCCCGGGAGTGGCCCTGACCGGGAATCGAACCCGGGCCTCGGTGGTGACAGTTCCTTTGTAACACAGTTTAAAAACCACAGTTGTACAGAACTGGATCTCCCAAACAGCTTCTGGGAGGCAGACCTGTGCAAAACAGCTGGAGAAGATGGTTGGAAAAATATTTAAAAATATCTAGGTTTTGCTGTTTTATATTCTCATTTAGGACACTATTTTCTCTTTTGCAGCTACACTGAAAAGCAGATTGTACCCAAACACGATGACAAAGTTTAAATAACTATTTTTACAGCACACAAAATATATTTCAGCAACTTCGAGTTATTTATTCATCACTGTTGTGTATTGGATAAGAACTTTAATTATGTAACACTATTAAACAAATGTTTAAGTAGCCCTTTACTCAGGTATTAGCTTATTTTCTCAAAGAATAAAACAAATAACTTGGTCTATTTCACCACTTTCTCCCTCACACTGTCCAACTGCTTTACTAAATAAAAGTTTAATTTCAGTCTAGTCAAACAGCACCCATCTTTGTAAATAATGAATTAAGAAAAGTCACAAGGTAATGCTTTCTAGAATGGTAGGACTAGCAAGAGCTAAGGTCTGAGGCTTACTAACAATGTGCAGAGAGAAAAACCATTGCAAATTAAAAAGTATTGAAGGAGAAGAGAAAAAAAGAACAAAGAGAAAGAAATGCAGTGCTAAGAGACTCAACATTTTGAAACCAGATTGACACCATTTGTCCACACTGGATCCATTCCTTGATCTGTGAAGAATTATTTCTTCCACAACATCACAATTTGTTTTAGTTTAGTCCATTTGTTTCAAGAGGGAAGTACAAAGAATTACTCCCATCAAAAAAAAATACTAGTGTGTTTGAATGATAAATATAATCCCTGTTTCCTTACTTACCTCATCCCTACAGAAACATGTGTTTTTTCATAAAAAGTCAGTGTTAAGTTTTAATACAACACAAACACCAAACTAATACTTGTAGAAACTCAGCATGAGCCAATACTGTTAAATAGAAAAGAAAACCCTACAACTGGTCAACTCCTTCCATGTCAGCAGCTCTCGTTCCTGTGGGGTTCCTGCAGGCTGTCAAGCAGGCAAACTCAAGACCCACCACCTTGCACAAAGGCAAGAGCTGTAACTCTGCTTCCTGCTGAATAAATGCTGATGGAGAATCACTGCCATTCTCCAGGGCAAGTCACTGCCTCCATGCTTACCCTCCACAGGACACTGACACATGGCTCCTACATATTTCACATCTTGGTAGAAACCCATGGCTCTGCACAGAATCTGTGGTTTAACACAAGCCTAAGCAAAGCAATAATTCTCCATCACTTCTGCTGATCTGAGATTAGATCAGGACCTTTGTGTCCGCTCCTCGAGACACAGAATTTAAAGTACTTGTACTGTCACTGTCTCTATCCTGTCATTCCTATTTTTCCTCTTCATTATGCTCATCTAGGACTCCAGGTACTGTAAGTGACATTTGAGAGCAAGTGCCAAGAATAACTACTTCGCTACTCGTGGTTGAGACCAGCAAGGAATCATCTTAAATAGTCTTGGAACACTGTAGGTCACAAGGTTGAATTCAGTGGCTCCCCTCAAAGTCACACAGGCTGTTTTCTTTGATGTCTTTAAAACACAGTACTGCCTTTTTGCACCAGTTCTGATATCATACCTTTTTGGATGTTTCTGGGTGGAGGACTTGCCGAATGAGTAACTGGCCATCACTGCAGAGTGTGTAAGAGCTCCTTCCAAGTACTTTCAAATCACCGGATACCAGTTGACTAAACTGAAAAACAAAGTGATAAATTTCATTGTATTGACTGATATTTTCATGAAACAAGCACCCTTATTCCAGTAATTTTTTTTTTTTTTTTTAGGATAAAGCAATCCAGCACTTTGCAAAATTTTTTTAAAAAAACACGACGGAAGACACAGGCTCCTGATAAAAGTAAGCAAATAAATGGTACACTTTTGTGGAATAGAAAATAAGAACATCCAGAGTAAAGTAAAAAGCCCAAACAGGAAGATAAGGTCATGGTATTATATTGGTAATGTACAAAGCCTGAACTAACTATAACAGAAGTTATTAAATATTTGAAAGACTATTCAAAATTAATCCCAATACTGATTTTGCAATACCTTTTCTTCAATTTTGGCACCTTTGACTTTGGTTATTGCCTTAATAATTATTTTTTTTAACTTCAAAAAGAAAAAAGCTACCCATCAGGATTTACTAACGTTTCAAAAGTAATATGCTAGGCATAGCCAACAAATCATGGTCTAATACCTTCAAAAGTGAAATTATAATCAAGTCAGATCCAAGCCAATTAAAGTTCTTGGTATATATATAGAAATACAGAGCTATGAACACCAGCTAAAACAAAATTATTCCCTAACTGTTGGATGGATAACCCCCAGCAGGTTACTTCTAAAGAGGAATTATCTTGTTCAATGTTAGTTTCCATCCTTACACAACAGTTTCCAACCTTTTATTACTCCATACCACTGTTAAAATTCCTTGCTCATAACAGCCAACTACCATATTATAGTACCTACAACATATCAGTAAGCAGTAGCTTGTTAACTAACTTTCAAGGGGACAAATATAATTATTCTAACCTTCCCCCTTGATGCTACTCCCTCGCAGGAAAGCATCAGCTCACAAACAAAGCAATAATTAACATCATGATGCAGTAGCCACCCAGTGCTTTCCGCAATAGCTTACAACTCCAAAACAACCAAAAGCAAATTACAAGTTGACTTGAAACTCAGACAATATCTTTCTGTTGTCTTTTAACCTGTGTATGGGGAGAAAAGAGAGTAGCGTTGTTTTATCATCAACGCATGTGACGCTTTCCATCGTTACAGTGTCTGCTCAGGAAAGACCATGTCCTAATGATCCCACAGCTACACAGAATTGCGTGTGAACAAACGCTGCAGCATTTGTGTCCCAGAGGGAATGGTTCTGCAAGGGAGAGACTGTGTATTGAACATGATTTAGAAGGAGTAGAGACATGATTACCCCAGCTTTATTTCCAAATAACTGCTCAAATCCAATCCAGGCCCTTTTCTAGGCTGGGGCAGCTTACCAGTGTTGCACTACCATTTTGAGCTCAGAAATCCTGTAGAAGTGGGTATTACACATGAAGGTAGAAAATTAAAAAAAAAAAAAAAATATCAACCAACCCAAGCCCTTGTAGATTCAGAAAGCCAGTTTCCTCTTAATTGCTAGTAGAGGTTTGCATTCCTACCACACTGTTGAAGTCTTGAAGAACCTGAGGCTATAAAGCAAGTGATTGTTCAAGGATGATTTAAAGTCAGAAAATTGAGATCTGAGAGTGCTCAAAATACCTCAGCTGATGTGTAAACACCACAAAAAGAAGAAAATTCCATCAGGCTCAAAAGAAACCACTTCAGAAATGCAGATCTGTGGACTGCCACAGTCACAGACCAACAACAAATATTCTCTCCACAATAACATGCATAAAATCTGCCTTCTCACTAAATGCAGCAACTTATCACTTTCTGTTTTAACTTCTGGGCACAGTAAAGAGCAAATATTTGTAAAAAGGGATTGGAAATGGTGATAGGAATCAGCCTCCAGAAGATGTACATGGATTCTTGCCAAAAGGAAGCAGAATCTTACTGATGAACAGTAATAAAACACTCCCCAAACTTTCAACTTCATACCCTGAGTTTCTGAAGATGCTCAAGAGACAATAACAAAAAAGTGCAGTTAGAGAGCTATTCTGATCAGATACAAGAAGAAATCCAATCCACACGATTTGAAGGAAGCAACAGTTGTATGCGGCCTCCTGCTGTACAAACAAAACATAAGAACTGTAGTTTAAAAAGACTTTATCAAGTTAGAAAACAATAAGAGAAAAATGCTCGGACAAGGGAAGAAATGCTCTGGTCAAATGGCGTAAGTCAAGTTAGTATAAATTGGGAGTGCTCACTGAACTATTTCTTTTTTTTTTCTTTTTCCCCCCACACAACCTACAGCTGAAAAGACAGATACACAACACAGCTACTTTCAGAAGCCCATAGTGAGAAGACATCAAAGTAGTAAAATACTGCGTAAGGACACTAATAAGACCAGTATTCCAAGCATACTCAGGTTTAAAGAACTCCCAAGAGGCAGCATTAATTTTTATTTTTTACTTAGCCTAAGTATTTACACGGTATACTTATTAAACGTCAGGGACAACATTTAACACCGCAAACTCCTTTCCAGTGGGACAACCAACACGTCAAAACGATTTTCTACTGTTCTTACTAGATGCCAGCAGCTTAAAGTGCTTTAGATAAACCTCCAAAAGGTTGGCAGGCCTTGCTGAGAGTTCCTAAATAAACTTTTATTTCAAAAACAGCCATTTTCAAACTTTGGGGTGTACTGCTGCAGGAGAGGGAAAAAAGAGTGTGGGAAAAAGAGTCAGGAGATGTAAGCAATCCTTCCTTTCCAAAACACCTTAACTATGGCGTGGGTTAACTGAGGAGAGAATGAGGTAACAGTGCAAACAGGAAGATTCACCGGGGACAAGAGCATGGGGCAAAATAGGAAGCAAAGCAAAGAGGAATGATAGATATTTGAGATCAGCCTGAACCAGCTTCTTTCATCTGTGTGAGATGTCACAAAATTCTGCAAAGGTTAAGTACAAAAAGTATAGCAGTGAACCAGCTCTTGTCATTCCAGATTAGGCTGGACCTTAGAGTCTTTTAGGCAACAGATACCCCATATCACATGTACCAAAGGTGTTAAAGCAACCAGGGCAGATGTGTTTATAAAACCACATTGGTAAGCATAGCATAAGTCACATCAGTTAAGCAATTCAGCGTTCCTGATGAAAAGCCATTTTCAGCCTCCTTTCTTGCATCACAAGTTTCAGGCAGCATTTCAAAGAACAGCCTTGAACCAGTATACACCCAAATGTAGCAAGCTAAGGACAAGTTAAGACCAGTGCCAGATTTACATTATGTTTTTCTGTCTCACATGTTGAACAACCTGTCCACAACTCTGTCATTTCGTAAATTCCATCCACATCTCCTTCACTCTACTAATAAAAACCATCTCAGCTATTTACCTCCTGTCATTCATCTTCATCCTGCCCTCCACAGCACTCCCCCACTTCAGCATGAAAAGCTGCCCCACCTTAAGGCTTCCTCCAAGCTTACACACCCTGTCTGCCCTGTTAATCTCCTCATTTCATAGCAGAGTTATACAACGTTAATTACCACTGCTTGCATCTTGCAACTAGCCCTCATTTCGACTACAAGAACCAGTCTATTAGCATCACCCTCCACCTCTATTGCTTATTCCAACAGATCAGTCTGTCCAGTAGAGAGCTCTGATGAGTCATTCCATATTTAAAAGAATATATTCCATAATTTCATACCAAGATTAAAAACTGAACAGAGAGAAAAGGAAGAATCAAACAAACAATCTGCTCTGTACATTTGCCTCCATGAAACCAAAAACAGTTCTAAGAGAAAAGGTAATGAGAGGCAAGGACAGAATTCGAGTACCAGTTTGAAAAACTGGCTAAACATGATTTTGGTTGTGCAGCCAAGAGTACAAAGAGAGTGAAGAGACACGTTTTGCCAGCAGCAATGCTGGATGAAAGCCAGCACAAGCATTTTTACAAATGAATCCCATGGAACTGAAATGACAGCCCCTTCACATTGCCTTAACTTTACAAACAAAGCTATGGATCTTAGAGAAACAAGAAGATTCTTCATTAAGCTCTTTCTATAGTTATGATGCACAAAACACTAAAATAAACCTCTGGATATTTGGATATTCCCATTTCCTTAACTAAAAATAGCTCTCATCCTTGAGAAAGGCCACTGCATCTGTGCCTGGCATGGTAATGAAATACTGAGATAATTCAGACACAGAATGCATCTATGCTACCAATGGCACCATTTATAAAACACCAAGGTAACTCTAGGGAATTCTCCCTTTAAATCACCCCTGAGAAATAACAGAAAATTTGGTTGCTTCTTACTCATCAGACTTTCAGTAACTCCTAGTGACTCTTCAAAATGTGATCCTTTCCTGCACTGTTTCTCTGTTTGGCTTCTTTTGGTCCTACTGACCTATCACAGCTAACAGCACCAGGCAAGACACAGAATTATTCTCAGAGCTTCAGAATTAAAAGCATTTGCAATTTAACCTGGTCAGAAATGCCATGCTAAAGCATAATATAAAAATCCAGAAAACAGTTTAGCTTGTAGTCCATGCTTAAACTACATGTGAATCTATTCCCAAGTAGAAAGATGAGTTATTAGATTTATTAAAAGCCTCTGCACAAAGGATGGTCCTCACAGTGTGGTGGCCTGGTTTCAAATCAGTGTTATCAACAGACATGTTACTAAGTTGGCCAGAGTTTACCATTTGGTGATTACACACGAATACATGGCCTGGTTTCTGTCAAATCAGCGTATCAGAAAGTGCTCATTTTTACTTCCATGTCATCTTTTGATTTAGATGGGAGAACAAATCACATCTGGTACAACCAAAACTGAAGACATGAGAGAGATGATACTTGATTTGGCATAAAGCCTGTCAAGAGAATTTGAACAAATTTAACATTTTAGATCAGCAAACCAAACCAAAACAAGTAAAACCAACAACACTAAAAAATCAAAACTCACAAAAAAAACCCCACAAAATTTTTTTCAGGAGTGACATCTTTGGTCATTATTAAAAGCAATACTTTCAGGAATAACTTAAAAGTTATTTCTGCTCACCTAGGCCCATACATACTGACATATTCCCTTGAG